GCAATGGACAAATCATCACAAAATCCTTTCGTATGTTTTTATCACTAATATTCAACTAATGATAATTTTATCATTATTTGCGAACATTCCGTAACTCATCCTTTCAAATTCATGCCCAAGCATGTACTCAAAATTTTAAAGGGTTTCTTCGTCCAATTCAAAAAATGTCAAATCGTCCGATTGGCCAGAAGCATAATTCATAATTTGAGGAATGCTCGGGAAATCCAAAATATCCTTTATTTTTAACTGTTTTCTTTGGTATTTTCGATTTAATTAGTTTTGATAATATTTTTGTACTAACATTTTATTTTTGTACTAACATTAGAAGACACTGTATTATTCACTTCAGGAAGCGATAAGACCGTTACGCAAAGAGCTCGAGAAAGACAAGGATGAGCTGCAACGCACATCGCACGAGTGTATGACACTAATAGAGGAAGTGCTTCTTGAAAAATATACGCCCGTTAGTAAAATGGAAGCTCAATGTGATCAATTTGAAGCAATGATTGATTTGCAAATTTACGTCTTTATGGAATGATTTTATATTGATCTTTTCAGATGCGAGAGTGTTCCAATTCAAATATTTGAATCGATAGCTGGTATCTGTTGAAAACGATGATGAATGTCAGGTAGTACCTTTAGTGATATAATTTGCTGTATAGAGAAAAATGGAAGCACATGTTCCTATGTATATATCAATTTAGTATTCTTACACAAATCATGTTAATTCATTGCTGACGAAAGTGCTTGCTTGGTTGGTTCTCGAGTGAGCATACATCGGGTGAGACTGTGGAGTGGGTGACCCTTCCCTGATTGCTCCTTTCGTTTGCTGATGATTGGTCCACATTCTCACAGTCTTCTTTCACTGCTATCACTTCCAAAAACCATACACCTCTCTGACTGTATGTTTTTCTCACCAAACCGTTACTGTTTTTCTTTATTTCGCGGCAGAATATTCGTCATCCTTTCGCATTAATGAGATTGATGGAAAAAAGGAAATCCTGATAAAAAGCAACATTCCGGAATGGTGAAATAGTGTGCTGTATGATGTTGAAACTCCGTTCCGTTCGTGATAGTGTTCGCAACGCCTATTGTCCTCGTCATTTTGTAATGTGACAATTTTGTGCGATGATCTTCTGAAACACTTTTCTGTTTAATCATAAAGGTCAAGACAGTCTTAATTTCATTGCTGCTGGTTGAAGAATGTTAAACTCATTTCCTTTATTAAATCATCGATCTTTCCATTTTTTCTTTATTTTAACTTCATGGAATTCCTTTAGATACGTATTTGTACAGAAATTTTGTTGACAACGAAGTCTGTCATCAGTTGCTTTCTTACATCTCAACCAGTACTGTTAAAGGAAAGTTTGCAATACAATAATGATTTTAAATTTTCCCATTAGTTTCATACTATTTGTTCTGCTTCAGAATGTTTTTTATCGA